ATGGCCACTCGTTTGGATGACCTTCATAGGTAAGTTGAAGGTCAAAAGCCAATGCATACTACGTATAGCTCATGAGGTCAAGTTGACCAGCAACAATGAACCTTTGTTAGAGGGATTATTGAGGTTTACCTATAAGATTTCCTTAAGATGAAACACCCTCATTTTTGGGTTTTGATGCAATAGAGGATCTTTAGATTTTCTTGGATGAGATGGAGAAAATCTACATTACTTTAGGATGTTCTAGTGTGCATTCTGTGGAGTTAGCTAGTTTTAAGCTTAAGGATGTGGCCTATTAGTGATACCAATCCTTACATAGATGTAAACTAGTTGGCACTAGCCCATTGACTTGAAAAGAATTTATAATGGTCTTTTTGAGTCAATTTCTACTAGATAATGTGCGAGTCACCAAGGCACTTGAGTTTGAGACACTAGTGCAAACACCTAGCATGATAGTTTCTGAGTATGATATTTGGTTCACATAGTTATCCTAGTATACACCATGCCTTGTAGCTACTGAGGATATGAGGATTAGACGATTTACAGATAGGTTGATAGAACCACTGTTAAGGCTGTTACATTTTAAGCCTTTGGTACCTATGCCTCCGCAATCAACTATGCATAAAGGAATGAGAAGAGGATCAAGGAGAGTTGGGTGACTTGAGACAAAGCCAAGAGGGCTAAGACCGAGGGCCATCAAGGACAACGAAGTGTTAGCTCAGGACATGGACTATCCACAAGCCATCACGGCCAACATAGAGCTTCTCAGCCACATGGCTCCTAGCAGAGGAGTAGCATAGTCAGTTGAAGGTCCCAACAAGATAAAAAGGCATGTAGTGCATCAGCGTAACAGACCACAGGGTTTAATACACAATTAGCCTCAATTTGTCCCATTTATGGGAAGGTTCATAAAGGGGTATGTTGTCATGCAACAAGACTTTGCTTTGAGTGTGGACAACCTAGACATATGAAGAAGGACTATCCTATGGCACCATAGTTTTAAGAGGGCTCACGCCCCACATCCTAAGCTACATTATCACCACATCTAGTTGTATCTCAACCTATTCGAGTAGTTACTGGATCTAGAGGTAGAGGTGAGGTAGCTCTTCTCAAGGTGAAGCATCTGAATCTTTACACCAAGGAATAGCTGGGAGGGGATAAGATCGAGTTTTTGCTTTGACACCTCTGGACGCTTATGCGTCCAATGTCATAGTTTCAAGTATTCTTCTTATTTGTGATTATGAAGTATGTGTTATTTATGATCCTAGATCTACACATTCCTTTGTGTATCCATGTTTTGTAGCAAAATTAGGTGTTGATCGTACTTTGATGGAATTTGGTTTGATAGTGACTACTCCACTTAAAGAGATATTGGCTGCCTAGTTTAAGTTTAAGTCTTGTGTGGTTTGAATAAGGGATAAGGAGACACAAGCCACCTTGGTTTTGCTCATCATGTTAGGCTTTAATGTAATGTTGGGAATGGATTAGCTATTGCCAAATTACGCTAATATGGATTGCTATCTCAAGCTAGTTAGATTCGATTACTTAGGTGAGCTGTCTTTTATCATTCAAGGTGATCATAGTATTTCTCCAACTAATGTGGTTCCTACCATGACGGCAAGGAGATTGTTGTAATATTGATGCTAAGGATTTTTGTAGTTATTAGAGATACTCAGATGGAGGTCAGAAGTGCGGCCAATGTTCCCACAATTAGAGAGTTTTTTTATGTATTCCTAGAAAAACTACTTGACTTACTCCTAAATAAGGAGGTTGAGTTTGTATAGATTTTGTGAAGGATACCTGACTGATATCCATTCGATCATACAAGATGTCATTGACAAAATTTAAGGCACTCAAGGATCAATCGGAGGACTTGTTGGATAATGGTTTTATATGTCTTAATGTATCACCATAGGTTGCACCAGTATTGTTTGTGAGGAAGAAAGATGGATCACTCAAGCTATGCATCGATTATAGATAGCTTAATAAGGTGACAGTAAAAAATAAGTATCCACTTCCTCGTATTAATGGTTTCTTTGATCAGTTGGAGGGAGCATATTGTTTCTCCAAGATTGATCTTCGCTTTAGTTATCACTAACTCAGGATTAGGTAGGAGGATGTGCCTCAAATTGCATTC